TACACAGCATTTAAAAATGTCAATTGAAGAATTCATAATTTTGCAATCAAACAAGAATGTATTAAATCAGGTGTTTTGAAGAAGTTTAACAGGCACAAATATATTTAGATTTGCTTGGTAGTCTCATTTCTACGCTGTAGAAGGCTGCGCTAAAGGGTACTACTGTGCCTTTTAAGACTTCAAAAATCTTTTAACATATAAACCCCACCTCCCTAAGCCAATGATGCATCCTCAACACTAATAAGGCCTCAACCCATATCCTTTGGGAAGAGACACAGAAATTCCTCCACTCATTTTTACGACTTAATGACTTTTGGTTTCATTATTATGGCTTAATACCAATTTTTAAAAAAAGGTAGTGGAGGTTGTTATATCTGCATATGATTCTTCCATCTGCTGCCTCATTTCCACATGGCACAGGTCATGATTAATCTAAAAGGCTCCCAACAGATCACTGGAAGGTGTTGTAACAGCTCTGTTAATTGTGAGACACTACACAGTGAATACATCTTCTCACTGAAATACCTGATTAGCAGTAACAGTTGATTCTCCTTAGGTTTCTGACAGAGATGTGGCTCCTACTGACATCCCAGAAGCACCATTTTGAAAGCAAAAAATTTTACAAAACCATCCTACCTACGCAGGGCTTCACTTTGCTTTGTAAAAGCTGCGTTGAATTTAGGCTCCATAGACAGAACCTAAGCATGGACAGCATCGTCCTTCTCAGGCTTTGGGAGAAATATAGACACTGATTGAGTATGCAAGGATGGGTTTCGGGAAGGACACAGAAAACAGTGGGGTACTCAATGCCTTCTTTGCCTTCGTCTTTATGGGTAAACTTTGCCTTCAGGTGTCCCTGGTCCCAAGACTAGTGTCAAAGTCTGAAGCAAGAAAAATCTACCCTTGGTGGAGGAGGATCAACAGCTAAACAAAGTGGAAAAAAGCACAGGTCAATCAAACCTGATTGGATGCACAAGTAGTGCTGAGGGAGCTGGCTGATGTCACTGCAAGGCCAATTTCAACTGTTTGAAAAGTCATGGTGACTGAAAAAACCTCCTGAGAAATGGGAGAAAGCAAATTTCGCTCCCATCTTTGAGAAAGGCAAGGATCCAGGGAACTGTGGATTAGTCAGACTCACCTCCACTGCTCAGAAGCTGATGGTATCCTCCAAACATGTTAAGGACAAGGAGGTGATTTGGAACAGTCAGCAAGAAGAAGAAAGCATGCCTGACCAACCTGATAGCTCTCTAAAGTAAGATGACTAGGCTGGTGAATGGGAGAAGAGCAGTGAACGTTGTTTATCTTAGCAAGGTTTTTGATGCTCTCGTAACATCCTCAGACAACCTTGTAAGTGCAGGCTAAATAAATGGACAGTGAGGTGGATTGAAAACCTGCTGAATGCCTGGGGTCAGAGAGCTCTGATCAACCATACAACACCCAGTGACCCGCTAGTCATTTAGCAATGTAAATTACACCCGGGTAACTACTGGATACTGGGCCAGTACTGTTCAACATCTGGACAATAAGGCAGAATGCAACTCAGCACATTTTCAATTAAACAAAATTTGGAGGAGGGGTTGCTACACCAGTTAGTTGTGCTGACATTCAGAGGGTCCTCAGTAGGCTGGAGAAATGGGCAACTGGGAATGTCATCAAGTTCAGAGGGAAATACAAAGTCCTACAGCTATTAAGAAACAACCCCAGGCACCAGTACAGGTTGGGGACTGGGCAGTTGAAAAGCAACTTTACTGAAAACGGTCTGGAGATCCTGGTGGACATCACAATGAATATAAGGCAGCATTGTGCACTTGCAGCAAAGGTGGCCAACAGCTTCCTGGGTTGCATTAGGAACCATATTGCCAGCAGGTCAAGGGAAGTGATCGTGTCCCTCTATTTTATGCTGTTGGGATCCTATCAGGAGTGCTAGATCTTGCATCGTATTCCTCAGTATCAAGAAAGATGTGGAGCAAATCCAGCGCAGTGCTCTGAAGATGATTAATGGACCAAAGAATTTGTCATACAGGGAAAGGTTAACAGACCTGAGATGTTCAGCCTGGAAATGAAAAGGCTGAGGGGGAACTTATCAATGAGTATAAATACCTGACAGTGTTGGGGAAAGCTAGACACTCTCAGTCATCTCCAGGAAAGGGAGTAGGGGCATGGGAAATTTCATTTGAACATAACAAAAAGAATTTTTTTTTTTTTACTTTGAGGGTGATTGAACACCGGAATTGGTTGCCCAGAGAGCTTGTGGAGTCTCCAACCTTGAAAACATTCCAAATCCAACTGGGACAGTCCTGCGAAACCAGCTCTATTTCACCCTGCTCCGAGCAGCAGATTAGACAAGATGATCTCCAGAGGTCACTTCTAACCTCATCCTTTTTACGATTCTGAGAAATTATTTAAACAGAATTATTAGACCACCTTTTCCAGACAGAAACAGTGAGAACCGGTGATTACATTTTCTAGGTTATTGCTGGGGTGTGGATTCAACCTCCTGTTAATTAATTCATAGGTTCAACAGCTGCTGACAATTTCTACATAACTGTATGTTTTAAGTTAAAAATGCCAGGATTCTTCAATAAGCAGTTTTTAAATATGTGTAGCACAAACAGAAATAAGTAATATGTGTTTTAAAATGGATTTGGTATCTTTACATCAATCCCCCTCTTCCTCTGTATGTGATTGCAATGGAAGATGTCTGCCTAGAAAAGATTCATCACCTTTGTAGATACAGAGACTGTTCAAAGGGAAACTTCCAGCATAAATTATTTGTAGTATGAACATCTTGAATCACTTCAAGCCTAATGAGAAGTATCTTCAGGAAACTCTTCTAGTGAATATGTACTGTTTGAAGCTCCAGTTTTCTTTTATGGCTGTATACAGCACCATTTTTCTGACAGCCCAGTCGCAGAACACGTCAGCTTTTACTTTTTATTGACTGGATAGCTCTTCCATTTGCCACTTTGACAGTATTTCAAACTGTATGTTTCAAAGCCACGTGCAAGTAGATTACAATCCTATTCTGCAAATTAGTATCCAAATGAAGTGACATGTACCCTTGTGGCTGACCTCTAGCATTACTTATTTCTACAGTAGGAAAAAATATGATGTCCAAAGGAGGTTAAACAGGACGGGGGCCTTCTCCTTACAAAGCTGACCCATGAAACTGGTTTGGGGATAGCAAATTGGCTCCAAATCACAACAATAGTATCACTAGCTATGTGATATCAGGTCACTACCATACTAACCTTATGTTAAATATTGAAATCAGGTATTCAGAAAGGCATCAGATGTGGTCCAAGATTCTGCCTGTCACCCTATATGTTTCCTGAAGGGCAGGAAGGGTGGGCAGTTAGGCCAGCAGTTCTGATGCTTCTGAAGGACATTTGTGACTGAATGCAGTTAATCTAACTTAAGTTAGTTTAAGGTACCTGAACTTTCTGAACTAGGGACAGAGTGTCCTTGGGTTGTCCGCTAAAGCAGGGAGCAGAGATAGGACTTCCAGAGGCATTTCAGAAAAGCCAGTAAGATCTCTCTTTGATAGTGGCTATTAATTGTGGCTATACAAGGAGACTAAAGCAAATATGTTTTTAATCTACACACTTCAGATAGGAGTATAAAGCTGCAAAAGACAATTATGAACTTTGAAACTATATGTTTTATTTAGTTGAGAACATGCAATATGTTATATATATTTATATATATTTTATATATATTTATATATTATATATTTATATATATATATTTATATGCAATAAGGAGCATATAAAACAACTATTACTACACCAAAGTAACTGTTTTAATACTTGAGCATTATCTTAGCATTGAATTTGTTCCAAGCAGAAACAGTGTTATGATTAAGAGACCTGTACCATGTTATTTGCAGTTTATGAAACACTGAGCAATACTTGAAAACTTGCTCTTTTGAAATTTTCTAGAAATACATGAGCAATCAGGATGCTGTTTTTCACACAGCATCCGTCTTGTGCAGTGTGGTAATATCTGCTCAAATACAGAAGAATGAGAACAACCACATTTCTCACCTCTCAAATAAACCAAATAATACAGAATTCAGACCAGTTTGTGTTTTTCATTAAACTGGATATGTTTACAAGCCAGATGAAAGCAATACTTGCTAAAATTACCTCCTTTCCATTGTTTGGAAGATTTATTGAAGGCAATATAGAACAGCAACAGTAGTCAATCATAGGTGGCAGACTGCCCTCTTATTAGGCATATTGAAGCCAATTAATCTAAGCAAGCTTTCTCCCTTTACCTCCTGGAGGCATGTATGCTTAGAACACATTTAAAAATTCTGCAGCAATAAATAAAGGTGCTGAAACTATTCTTTTGAACTTTGAAAAATTATTTACAAGCACTTGAGATGCTAAGCATTAACATTCTACATACTCTGCTGGGCAATATAATTTGATTAGATCTAAGACTTAGAAAATACAGTTCTAAAACAAAGTCCTGGTGCTACTGCCATCCTCAGGGGTAGCAGGAAGACAAAGGAATGCTTGTAAAAGGAGGTAAAAGCAGTAGGAACACTGAAACCTCCCCTAACACTGAGTAAAGAAAGTCTGAGTTAATCACAAGTCCTCAAATAAGGTTGCAAGGGAAGGTGGCTTACTGAACCAGTAACACATAACAGAAGTTATCAGTTATTGGAATTTATTTCTAGATGTCAAATTATCTGTTATTTATACGAGACACTCAAGGCCATTTGAGGTGAAAAGCAAGTCTATCATAATGTTATTAATTATGAAACATCAAAATTCAAGATGTCTTAATTCATGTTCTAATTTTTGCAGTCCACGTGCTTCTAATTAGAACTGCTGTAATATATTCTCTTGTGAAGCATATAAGAAAAGTGAGTAACATTTTAGTTGCAGCTTCCTCTTTTCAGGGCACACACTTAAATACTCCTTTATTCTTGGATTACGTCAAACATCCTCCTTGGATTAGCTTCATCGTAAATGAAGTTATAATCTTACCAGTTTCACAGCTGGGCCCAGTGAAGCCTTGTGGGCAGGCACACACATTGGAAGCAATACAGGCTCCTCCATTCCTACATCCATCCTTGCAAAATGCTGCAAAATGCAAAATTACAATATATGGGTAACAGAACTACACTCAGGTGGACATGGTCTGCTGGCTGGCTGGCTGGCTGGAATGCTGTCTGTGCGTCACTGAAGGCAAAGTCTGCCTTCTCCTAAGGATAGAGGTCACAAAGAGATGGTTTATGCCCCCCCTGCCTCACTGGCCAGATGGGCTGACAAGCTACAGAAGGAGATTAGAGTAAATCATCTGAAGACGACAGCTCCCATATGTGCTCCTTCACATGCACTGGGAAGCAGTGAAAGGCAGCATCTTCCCTAGGAACAGGCTCCTCCTAGAGTGGTACTCGTCTTCTCTGCTGCCTAAATAAAGGGCTGAGCATAACAGGCACAACTGAATACCAAGCTGTCTGGCTATCTCAGTCCTGCAATCTGAGAAGCTCTGCTTACATATTTTGGTGCAGAATTTTCCAGTTGTGTATGCTTTAGAGTCGCTTCTGCAGACCCAGAAATGCAACCAGCTCTGATTGAAAACACCGTAGCTGTTAATTGCTCGGTTGCATCTGCAATATGGAATCAGAAATGCTCCAGTCATAAGAAACTGTTGGTGAAACTAGGAGATGGAGGTTGTCACCAACACAAAGATTGCTTCGGGGCATTCTTAACCAGCCACTTGTAACTAGCCACTGGAGATGCCAGGCTTTGGTTTGCAGCTGCTCTGCATAACAGCACCACTGATGAGGTCCTAAGGCTCATCTGACATAAAACTGTTAGCAGTTTGAGCTATCCAGCTCTCAGATTTGAGGCAGCAGCCTTGTGGTGAGACCTTCGGCCTGAGTGAGACATCTGAGCGTCCTGGTGCAGGAGTACATGGTGCACAGGAGTACTGCTGGCAGTGCAGTGCATGAAAAGCTGCCAAAGGCACGGGGGTATCCAGGTCTCTCTGAAGGATGCTGGCATCCAAGTCAGGGTTGTAGAGAAGTACCTTTCTCAGATTTTGATACACAGGCTCAGAGCCTTCTCCTGCATACTGCCTTTTCAGTATTGAAGACAGAGAGAGGGAGGGAGGGAGGTGATGTACTTTTCTTTCACTGTGGGGCTAGGTGCCCTCTGAAATGTCAGAGCTCTTATTCAGGAGACAGAAGAGCCAAATGCAGTAGGTTCATGTGCCTTCTCTTTGATCCAAAGAAATCGCAATCACCTTTTTGTAAGCTGACTCACCTCCAGTAGAAGAAAAGGGGAATACTCCCAAGGACAGTACAGGAGTGTGCAGACAGAGCTCTCTTCTGAGAGGAGCTGCTTTGGGTTTGAACCTCCTCAGGCTAAGACTTTCTTCTCATTCCCCAGAGGAGAGAGCCCAGAATAAAAAGATATATTTGCTGACATGTCTCCCTCTACCCATGTGTTTGACTGGAAGTGGACCAGGCTTCCATGCTTTATAGCGAGCTCATTTGTCTTTGGAATATATAGCAAAATTGTACTGTTACTCAGGAATAACTAGTGCTAAGATCTTAATCAGACTTAGCAATGAAAGAAACGCCAGGTTGTTTAGCTTTGGTAATACACAGCAGCAGAACATATCTATAGGACATTCCAGTGTTAACTCTGGCCCCTTAGATTCTGACATCAAGAGATCAAGAGGACTGAGGCACAACTTCATGGAACACTGGGTATGCTATTGCTGCATCTGGCCCACATCTCACATCTGAACCCATTCCTCTACAGCTATACTACTTCTATTTTCAATCATTCTCTAAATCCTATGCTCAGAGGTTAAGAACTTCCAAGGGTTTGGGCCCAAGTACCAAGTATCATTTCTTCTGATTTGAAATGCAGCAGAAATAAAAGCAGCATTATATCTCTGGGAAAGCATCTTTCTAAGAATAGAAGTATAACTTCTAGTGTTTACAAGTGAATGAGAATAGTAGAAAACATGATACCACCTCACATGTAGTAAATGTTTTCTGTGTCCATGTCTACCGCTTTTCTCATTTACAGCAAAAAGACACAACATACCAAACAACTTTCAGTTGATCCAAGCAAAACAGCAAGTCATTAAACATGGGTAATATAGATCTGACAATGTTTTCACAGCTGTAACTTCGTTGATAACTGTGGACTTTCTTGAATGGTGTAGCACCTATAGAAACTGTTAACTTGACACAGAAATGAAACATAACTACTTCAAATTTTATAGCCTACTGTCATCCTCAAATTACTGTAAACTCTGCCAAATGCAGTGTATATCCACCTGTGAAGATCTTATAGGTGTAGGACCTAAGTGTCTATCTTGGGATTTTCTCTGCCTTGTTCAAGGCATGTGACCAGAATTGCATCAACTATGACAAAGCATCTCATCCAGTTAAAGACTGACAAACCCTCAGGTTTCCAGCAGCCTACCTTTACAAATGGTACCATTTCCCGTGTAACCCGGCTTGCAGACGCAGTTGTGCCCACCCACAGTGTTGAAACAGAGCGCATTTTCATCACAGTTGTGCTGGTTTGTTATACATTCGTCATGCTCTGAAAAGAGAAACAAGAATGGGATGGTCCTGAATTTTTAAAAACACAGCAAAATAAAAGCTTCATATAGGTTTCCACGTTAAAAAGAGATAAACACAGTAGCAGTTACTGACAATAGGGCTATGTGAACATATTACTATGGGATAGCCAGGTTATTCCTTTTTAGGACATACTAGTATGTGATAACTGCACTGCAGCATAATTCCACTTTCATTACCAGGGAGTCACCATCATTACACTCTCTATGGGGGCTCCAGTGTTCTTGTAAGCATTTTCCAAAAAGCCAGCTAGCATACTGAAAATCCATATGCTATTTCTACTGCATAATTTATTCATGCCAGTTTATCTTATGCAGGATTCTTAGGGTTTCCTTCAGAAAGCTGACTAATGGTGTGAGATGCACGCTCCAAACTGCAAAAGAACAGGTTAGCAGAAGGCAGGTCTTCAAAGTGTTTTTCCTCCCTTCAGTCCATACACAGCACTTTATTAAATGAAATAAATAACCAAAAAAAAAGGTCTGCCTGCATTTCAAGGGACTTTTAGCTGGCATGTCCTAGCATCACAGTGCAACGAGACTGCTCAAACTGGTGACTAGACTTAGACGTACTGAGAAGTGCCCATCTTGGGAATAAACTAAAAATCTGGACCATATGATTTTGTGTTAATTTGCAATGCACTGCTTAATCTAAACAAAAAAAGGACTACATAAGTGTTTAGGTTACAGAATATTTTAATGTTTAATTTGTGATTTTTAAGAAATGGTAAATGCAATCTCAAAATAAGATGCTCTAAAGTGTCATTTCAAAATGATACATGAAAAACTCTATTACTTTCAAAATGCAGTATATTAGTCTGTAGGCGTCCAAATAAAATGTTTCCATCTTCTGGAAATATTCCTTGCATTTTTGTTAAATCAACAGTATTCATCTATCCATAAATAATTTCAGGCCCCTGAAATTTTAATTTCAGGGAAACCAGCTGTTTGGGAACATAAAGGCACCTAATTTTAATCAGCGCACATGGAACTAACTTGCATCTGTTTTCATATGTGAGGTTTTCATAGCCATAATTCTGCACAGATTTTAGCAAATTTTATTAGTGCAACTTATGCCAGTTCTGGCTATTTGACACAAGTATTAAATCTGGAATCAGATGCTCTTTCTTCCCTCATTTTGTGGGGTAAGACTGTTCTGAATCTTCCTCTTTATAAATAATGAGCTGAAATCTGCACATACCCTACAGAGTTGTCAGGAAAATTAATTGCTTAACATTTGCAAATCACTACGGAAATGTTCCACTTGCTATTTCAATAGTGGCCATAAACTGTAAGAGTATAAAACTGGCAGAATGGCACATCTCCAATCCATCAGTAGATGTAAATTTTCCTCTAGGCAAGTACCTGTTATTTAAAAGGGGGAAACATTCACCTCAATATAACTAATAAATTTTAAATGCTACAAAGGTTTAGTCTTATTTTGGTTGCTTTGTTGTTGAGTTTTTATTTGTTTGGTTTTTAATAACACTAACCTGATATCCCTCTTCTAAACAAGAACTTACGTGTCTCTCATATCACCAGTCATGCTCTCCTCAACTGGATGCAGTGGAGCACAGGCTGCAGGCCTCTGCCCTAAAGCATGAGATTTAATTACTTCGCTCTCGGCATGAATAATTAAAATTGTTATTGTTCACCAAATGATCCAGGCCCTCTAAAATCCACTTATGATATTTGACTCTGACCTCATAACATAGTGAAATCTCTCATGCTGGCTGAAATAGTATTTATGCTAAAGCACTTTATAAAATAAAAGAGGAATAAAGTAGTGACCACATAAATTAGGTAAAAAGTGTTATCAGTATTGTGATTGTATTAAGGAAGAGATTTTAACAGGAATGGAAGAAATCAGAAAAAAAAAAAAGAATAAGGGTGTTCTACAATCCTTCTAGATTTGTTTCTCTGTATCATCTGAGTTTAGATTCAATAACACACTTAAATCCATTTAAATATAGTGTTTCTTCGTATTGTTTTTACAGTCAGCTTACACTTCAGGATTGGCTCTTTTGTGGACTGATTACCTGGTTAAACTGCACCCAAAAATCCTGTACATAAAACATGTCACTACATCTACTCTTCCAGCACATGGCACACTATACACACCAATTTAAAGAAACAATCAGAAACATGTTTTTCACTACAAATAACAAGATAGACGGTTCAGCTTTATTAAACATAGATATGCTTAAGGGTGGTGTTCTGTTGATAATTCTTCATTAGTTCATGCTTATCACTTTGGTTGCTTTTTTTAATCAAACACTTGGAAAGTCACCATAAAAAAGAAGAAAATTGCAGAGATTGATTTCAGCAATCTTAAATATCAAATCAGGAACTGTAGAAGCAGATAGGACCATGCATTACAAAGAAGCAAAACAGTAATTTATAAAAGAATCATTAAAAGAGAACCAATAACACGATTTTTATGTTCCAAAACCAGTATAGAAACCTTATTTGCTCAACTTAGGAATGTTTAAATTTTATTTCTGATGTTGCAAGAAGCAACACCGAGGCCATTTATTTCAAGCATCTTCAGAAATCATGCAACACACATTTAATGGAAGTTCTATACTTAATCCACTGCACACCATAACGAAGATGGAGACAGACCAGGTACAATAGTATTACAGAGGCAAAGAAATAAAAATTATTTTTGCAGAGAGATTTTAATGATTAATGAACCTGAATTTGCATAAACATCTATTACAAAGAGCAAATGCACTGTTTTCAATGATGCCTTCTAGAGCTTTATTATCTAATACATCTTAATTCCATTTTGCACTGTTCAGGACTCTCTGCTCAACAGTGTTAAAATTCATAAAATCTCTGTTCTGGGAAACAAAGGATGTTTTAAATACACTATTTATATTGACTAAACTATCTCTGGAACGAGGTCTTTCTAGATAGAGAAAAAAATTTAACTCCAAAATTTGCTTTTGCTCCATGGTAATAACGATAGTAACATTTAGTGCATATGAATGTCCCATTAAATAGTTCTTATGACACAGAAGACTTAAAAAGCTAAAAATTATGTGATGATGCAATTAATTCACTTATGCACATTTGTATGTGCAGTTAATACAATATATACACACACAAAAATATATATACACAAATATATATATATATGTACATACAATAAGGGTGATGTATTTTATTTTACTTTGGTTCATTTTTAAATACTACTCCAGAATATTCCATGTGGTTAGCTTAACAGAAACACTACTTCAAATGTCTATCTAGCAAGAGAGACTGCTGGCATAAACTGATCAGGACCCACTAGATGCTGTGATGTATGCCAATGTAATGACAACTGAGGACCTGTCTTACCAAATTTATTACCTGTGCAGATATTCTTGCTGAACTTGGTAAAATTTAACATGTTGTCCACAAGGTGTGGCACCCACCTCCACATCAGCACTATTTAACATAAGCCTCCATCCTTCCTATTGTGTATTTCATGATTAGAAATAAATAAAAGTCTGTATAGCATTTCCTACTTGCATACTGCAAGACTTCCCAGTATTTGCCTTGTGCATCCAAATTCTGCAAATATCTAAGAAAAATATAGAAAATAAACATAATCCAATCCAACCGCAAATAGGAATGATGACTAAATTGAATCACTTACTTAGGGGTAAAGAATATTATGCTGGCAGTTTTCCTGAACCATCCATTACCAACACCAGAAAATAAGAGCCGAGATGATGTTTATGATGCAGAAATGCACAAAAGTTCCCAAAAATATAAATAAAACACATCCCTGCAATTGTAATCTTGGAACATGATGTAACAGATATTCATTGCTGAGTAAGGAACATGTGGACCAGGATTAAATTAAAATAATTTAAATAAAGAGAATATATTAGGTATTTTATCCTTTTGATACCTCTGCATTCCTGAACTCAAATTACTTTCAGCCTCGTGTCTCTTTCCCATTGATTTGATATAGATTCATAGAACCATGGTGACTAGCTGGCCATCTGATGTGACAGTGACAATAGATAAGAGTTACTTGAATTATCAACAGATAAGAGTTACTTGAATTATCAATAGCCAACACACTTTAATGCCCACTTACAGTTTATCTTAATTACAAGGGGTTTTTTTCTCCACCTATAGTTCATGTACAAGACAAAAATTAGTAGCAATTATAGGTGTAGTATGGAAAACTTATTCCATTAAGACTATTTGGGAAGTGACAAAACGTTAATTTCTTTAGGACTTCGTATTAAGTCAGTTAAACTCTTAATTGGTAGGGTTACTTAAAGTCTCAGTATAAGCACACTATTTTCAAGGAGTAAATGCTGTAATTTTATTGAATTATGCTATTTGCCGGAGAGTGTCCAAAGAAGGTCATTGAAACGGGTGAAGGGACCAGAGAACAAGTCTTACGAGGAGTGTCTGAGGGAACTATGGTTGTTTAGCCTGGAGAAAAGTAGGCTCAGGGGGGACCTTCTCTACAACTACCTCACTGGAGGTTGTAGACAGGTAGGGTTCAGTCTCACCTCCCAAGTAACAGGCGATAGGACAAGAGGAAAAGACCTCAAGTTGCCCCATGGGAGGTTTAGAATAGATATTAGGAGAAAATTCTTCATTGTAAGCATTGTCAAGCACTGGAACTGACTGCTCATTGAAGTGTTTGAGTAACCATCCCTGGAGATATTTAAATGACTTGTAGATGTGGCACTTAGGAACATGGTTCAGTGGTGGACTTCGCAGTCCTGGGTTAGACTTGATGATCTTAAAGGCTTTTTCCAACCTAAAGAAGTCTATGGTTTTATATTTTCCATATCTGTAGAAGTATACGTTTATGTTAAATTTTTGGATTGATATTCCCCAGTTTACTTTTCCATAGATATTCCTTAATTCAAATGCAAAATGGAACCCATGTTTTAATTACTCATAGAATTACCGTCACACAGTTTACCCTTAGTTAATGCTAGAGTCA